AGCTTAGCAAGCCCCTTCCTCAGCCATTCTCTTCTTCTCCACCTACACTGAAGCATGTGATCACCTTTTCTGTACAAGGCTCAAGCCATGTGGCCCTGTCCAACAATAAACCATCTTTCCAAGCAGCCTCCATGTCTCCAGTGTCTTTTTCCCCATTTGGAGCCGAACCCAGAATGACATTTCTTTCAACAATAGTTAATGAATAAGAGATAATATTGTATTTATTTATATATTATTTATATATTATTTATATTACTGCTACTACTACTACTACTACAACTACTACAGGATGAAGCCAATGACAATTGTAGACTGCAATCTACCACGCTGCTCCAGCTGGTAGCTGCATGCTTCCCCCCTCCCCATTTTTTTTTACTTCCCAGTGTAACCTGAAAGAGACTGACGATCTCGAAGTCACCCAGCTGGTTTCTTTGCTTAAGAGAATTAGACTCTGCTCTCCCACGTCCTAGTCCAGTTATCTTAGCCACAATTCCTCACTGGATGTATTAATAGGGATACGTCATTGTAAATACAGAAACCTTCCTTCGGTATTCTCTCTCTTTTCAAAGAGTGATTCTGTCCATCTAAATCCTGCAAAGCTACACCCTGAACACGAGAAGGCACCCTGCAGGCTTAAACGTTAAGGGAGGGAGGGAGGGAAGGAAGGTGAAGCAATCCATTCAGCGATGCTCGACTTGATTCTCCCAGGCTATCGTCTCCTATCGACAAAGCGGAGCGCGATTAATTTTCCCTTCCTGGGTTCGTCATTCTTCCTCGCCCAACCAACGCAAGGCCGCTGCATCATTCGTTCCGCCTGTTCCCAATCCGGCGTACAAAAGCAATATTATTTCCCCCTTCCCTCTCGATCGATGAGCGCGGTAATCGACTGCCCTCCCTGGGCTTCCATTTTGCTGGGGACGACAGATGCCGGAAAAGTGGTGGTAGGTTAGGAGACCGGACGCTTCCTTTTCCCCCCAAACGGGCTCCTTTTCCCTTCCTCTCGACTCTTTCACAGCCCCACTCCTCCGGTGGCCCGGCTTGTCTTGCCAGGTTGCGAAATGCCCCCCTTTGTAAACTATCGCCGCCCTAAGAAACTCTGCTTGTTTCTCACTAGGGACTATCCACTTGTGTTCCCAACCTCGGCCCCACACGGGATTCTCAAATTAGCTCTTCTTCTATAAATTGGGGGGGGGGGCGGGGGGGGGGGGAAGCGATTCATTCGAACCGTCTTGTCAAGCGACCGAAGCCGCCGGGCGCCTTGCCTTTACCGGAGTAACTTCTGGAGAAGGGGAATTACTTGTGTGGAGTGTGGGTCCGCCGGCGGATTAGGGAGAGCCACTCCTAGAAAGAGTAAAAGATCCCGAGACGGGATCCTCCTTTTCGGGAGGCAGCTCCGCGGGCAGCCCCGCACTTTTCCTTCGGAAGTGCCAGCCAGCCTGGAAGAGCCTCCCCTCGGAGATGGGCTACTGGAAGATACTCGGGGGCAGTGGATTATGGCAGTTGCCGCCCTGCAGGCCCGGAGGATCGCAGGTCGAGGGGGCTCCTTCTAGGCCAGAGTGTCCAACTTTGGCGACTTTTAAGGCGTGTGGACTTCAACTCCCAGAATTCCCCAGCCTGGGAGTTGGACGTTCACATGTTTTTGCTTCTAAATACTTGACTTCAGCCTAGCTGGCTGGGGGGATTCTGGGAGTTGAAGTCCGCAGGTCTTACGAGGTTGGACGCTCCAGTTTCTAGGCGATGCGCGGGACAGCCGCGTCACAGAGTTGTGCGGGAGTATGGAACGCGGAACTCTGCGCAGGCGCATCCTCAGCATGGGACCTCTGGGACTTTGCGGGAGTTTCAGTCTCCAAGAGTGGGGCGCCTATTTACAGCTCCTAATGTCGATGGAAGTCTTACTCCGTCCACGAGTATGTCTCGGCCATGCATTAGGTGGGCTCAGGTCTGGGTTAGGTCTGCTTGACATTTGCTTTTCAAATAGGGGTCAAGGAAAGCCGGCTTTGCTACAGGAAATTGGGATTCAATGGGAATGGCACCCCCACTAAATGCAGATGCACATTGATGGGCTGATGATGTGACCTCAAGTTGGTGTAAGCTTTTAACAACTGCACAGATAGGTTTTCTGGATACCTTTTGTCTCCAACCTGGTTCAGTAAAACCTCTGGTCACAAATGCTTCTGACCAAGACCAAATTGGGGTGTTTTTTTGTAAGTGCCAAATTTCCTGTTGTTTGTTTAGAAACAACAGCAACCCATATGTTGCCACTCCCCGTGAGATGAGTGGCTATACACATTTGATTAATAAACAAAAATAAATTTGAAAAAAATGATAGAAGCTATGAAGGAACCTCATTTGACTATCCTAGATGATTATCCTCAGTAATTATGTGCCTCATCACTCACAAATTGCCAACTTAAAATATATTGTTTGACCATAGAATATAAAGCCTGAAACCTGTTCTCAGAATAGTACATGTGCTAATGTTGAAAAGGAAGAATGAAACAACCATGATCCTGTTTGTAAGATATTCAAGGGAATAATGTAATATCTCACAACTAGGAGTTGTATCCTGCCCTATTGAATCCAAATTAGATCTTAATGTTTCTCCTGCTTCTTTATTATAAGGGTAAACTGAACATCATGCTGATGAAGGCTGTTCAGATTTAATTATCTTTCAGTGGAATAACTTATTTTTGATAGATAATACTCTCCATGATTACTAAATTGCATTTCAGACCCACTCTTCTATATACGTCTTTGTTTCAGAGTTTCTTTAAACAAAGAAAAGCATGGAAATGGCAACTGTAAGTAGTATAATTAATTTTTATTATACCAGATAGCTATACCTGTATGTAAAGATTTTTATAAAAAAAATCTTTTATGAGATCAATAATAATGAAGACACAATACAATGTTATTATATATAGGATTGGAATTAGTATGTTTTAACATGCCTATTATAAAAATGTCACACATTGTTTTTTATTCAGATCTCTCAAGAGAGAAAGCAATGCATAAAATTGTTAATACTGTTTTTCTTCATGATGCATCTAAAAATAATTACCATCCTCTGTATTAATATAGCAGCCCACTCTTGATGATGGGGGAAAAATAAGTCTTGTTTTACTACAGCTTTTTTTTTACCCTTTATTTAAAAAACCCTTTATTATTTTATGTGGCAATCAGAAGCATAGCTTGTGTTGTAATCTTCCACTCATATGTTTTAATTAATTAATGTTAATTAATGTTTAATTAAGAAATGAAACTTGACTAAAGTTCCATTGACAAGTGTATAAATAATATGGTAGAAATAATAAGATCAGAACTTTACTTGATTGTCAACCAAATGATGAATATTTGTCATTACAGTAAACTACGCTGAGGTGGTACCAGTCACCTGAGCCTTATTGATTCAGTTCATGTTCAGATTAAAGAAGAAAAAACAAGATATGTTTCCATTAGTTTGTGTCCTAATAATTTTCTGGCTTTGTTTTTATCAGACTTTTAAGTTTAGGGATATGTTTGATCAAGTTATGCAAGAGGCTGGGTTAAACTTTCTGCCAGTATAAAGAATGGTGGAATACTATAATCAACTTATAAAGTGGCCTGCCAGTTTAGTAATAAAAATGTTCTATCTCCAAATAAACCAGTTTAACTAACTTGTCACCTATCCTATTTAATAACTTTGCCAGAGGAAGAACTGGCATAAAGCATGCATACATATTTTTTTATTATGCTTTGTTTGCAGATAATTCCATCATTTTCATGTACAGGTATTCCATGCTTAACAACTGCCTTGTACAGCAACCATTCACAGTTATGACAGTGATGAAAAATAACTTTATCATCAGTCCTCACTTTTATAACTTTTACAGCTCTGTAAACCAAAGGAATGCTGAAGTAACATCATAAGGACCATCACTGTCTCACTTTGCAACCATTTCACTTAATGACCCAGTTGCCAGTTCTATTTATGGTTGCTAAACGAGTGCTACCTATATGTGCTTTAATATAATCTTAGTATATACTTAGATGCACTAATTGTTTGGTAAATCTTGTGTAAAACTTCACATTTAAAACGTTGGTTTTTATTAATCCATTTCAAGTATTTTTTTAATTGCTAATATAAGAAACAAACAAGCAAAATTCAAGGATGTTGAATCCTTGTTGTAACAGTTTCTTTGGAGAGAAGAAATGTCCCTTCTTCTCAAAGGTTTGTTAAATCTGGGAAGTATGTCATTGCATTCATTTCCATCATATGTGTAATGATCTCCCTCATCCAGAGTACTACAGATGTAGTGGACTCATCTGTTACTTCAGTGGAGTAGCCAGGAAGAAATTTTCTCCATCGCCTCTCTAATCCACTGGGAGCCAATTCAATCACGACCTCATTGTAACATGTTCCATGCCTGCACCAGCTGTTGTGGAACAATACTGTGTGTGCTAAGTCTTAGTTTTCATATACAACCTGTGATGCCTTCAATTTTCTTTGTGTTCCCTTTAGGTTCTTTGTAACAGAGCTAGACTGGTGACATACCTGCCAGGATTTTATTCTTTGGTTAGAAGGGTTATAACTCCCAAGACGTTTTCCACAGCAGGATCCTCTGGTTCAGATGAGCCTTCTGTTGCTGCTGCACCTCCTGACATATGTAAGGAAAATTCCAATTTTCTCGCATTAATGATCATTAAAGCCATATCTTTATAGCAAATCTTTTTCCCCTTCATTCCACCATGTCTGTTCCTCAGAAACCGCCTGCACAAATCCCTGCCAGTTTTCTTAGCAAGGTGTGTTTTTTTAGATGTGGTTTGCCATTGCCTCTCCTAAGACCAGGAGAAAGTGGGTTGTCCAAGGTCATCCAGGTGGTTTTGTGCCCAAGGCGAGACTTGAATTCATGGTCTTCTGATTTCTAGCCTGATGCCTTAACCGCTATACCAGACTGGCATCATATATATATTTTAAGTCATCTGTGTCGTTTGGTACTTTTATCCTAACTTTAAGCATTTACTCAGAACTAACTTCCACTGAGATCAATGGGATGCATTTTTTCAGCTTCTGTTGAAGTATATACGCTTCCACTTTTAAGCAGCAACTTTCAAAAAGCAATGTCCTTTACTGCTGAAAACAAATTCTGTGTGGGGGTGCTTTACAGTGACACAAACTTAATTTTTCTTAGGTCCAAAAACTGTGTGGCCAGATGAAATGATGGGACCTTTTGGCCCTCAGGACCAAAGATTTCAGCTACCTGGTAATATAGGTTTTGACTGTCACCTAAGTGGGACGGCACTTCAGAAGACGAGACAAGTTCATAAAAAAATGCCCGATCTATTAATGGAACCCTTGGCAAGTGAAAGGCATGAATTTGTGATGGCCCAGTATGTCAACGAGTTTCAGGTAAGTGTACAAGTCTCCTGGGAAGGTGAGATTCAAATCTAGAAATGTGTTCAATGCTTCCTTTGGTGGATGACACAAGAAGTCCTAGATGCATCTTTAATGTAGAGTTTAACTTGCACAGTAATTTATCATCCACATGGCAATTGCTAGACCACACATTCCTCGCAGAGTTCACGTACAAGTCAAGAAGTAACTTTCTAGTGGATTCGCTTTGATCACAATTTATCATTTGGAAATTTTTCAGCCTTACAGGTGAAACTCAAAAAATTAGAATATCGTGCAAAAGTTCATTTATTTCAGTAATGCAACTTAAAAGGTGAAACTAATATATGAGATAAGACTCATTACATGCAAAGCAAGATAGTTCAAGCCGTGATTTGTCATAGTTGTGATGATTATGGCGTACAGCTCATGAAAACCTCAAATCCACCATCTTAGAAAATTAGAATATTACATGCAAACAATAAAACAAGGATTGTACATAGAACAATATCGGACCTCTGAAAAGTATAAGCATGCATATCTACTCAAAACTTGGTTTGGGCCCCTTTTGCAAAAATTACTGCCTCAATGCTACGTGGCATGGAAGCTATCAGTCTGTGGCACTGCTGAGGTGTTATGAAAGACCACGATGCTTCAATAGTGGCCTTCAGCTCTTCTGCATTGTTCAATCTCATGTCTCTCATCTTTCTCTTGGCAATGCCCCATAGATTCTCTATGGGGTTCAGGTCAGGCGAGTTTGCTGGCCAATCAAGCACAGTAATCTCACAATCATTGAACCAGGTTTTGGTGCTTTTGGCAGTGTGGGCAGCTGGAAAATGAAGTCGGCATCCCCATAAAGCTCATCTGCGGAAGGAAGCATGAAGTGCTCCAAAATCTCCTGGTAGATGGCTGCGTTGACCGTGGTCTTAATGAAGCACAGTGGTCCAAAGTCCTGTTGCTCCTTGGTCCAAAATCCTCTTTTCTGATGAGAGCAACCTTTGCCAAAAACTGGTTCAATGACCGTGGGATTACTGTGCTTGATTGGCCTCTCCATTCTTCCTCCATATTCTGGGTCCTTGGTTTCCAAATGAGATGCAAATCAAATTCACAAAAGCCAACAGAAGTCATGATGACCATGTTGTCTACTGGAGGGAATGGGGACAGGAAGCAAAAATCTATAGCAGTAATTATATGTAGCAGTAAATGTAACAATTATAAAGCAAAAAGGATATGGAGACAAGAGTTTTTCTGATAGAAAATAATATTTGTAGATTGTTCTAAAACTTGCTGAGAAAAAAAAATCTGAAGAGATGATTGTTGGACTCCATTTAGAATATATATATACTGACTGTCAATGCCAAAACTGATCCTATCCTTTTGGAGATATAAGTGCCTTGGCTGATTTTTTTAAAAAAAAATCAGCTGGCAGTCCTTACTATACTGGAATTCTCGATGTTGCCACCAGCTTATTTCTGCTATATGACTGCAGCATAGATCTAGATCTTACATCAAAATAGAAAACTTTTGCAATACATAAGTAGCTTTGCTCATTAAGTATGACATATGACATGCAGTATGCATAATCAGAACTGGCTACAGTGATATCACAAAACTTTCATAGAGAGGTAGGTTTGGGAAGAGAAGGGATTATTTTTCTGTCCTCATTTTGGAGATATGTTGCAAGAACACCTAAAGCAAATTAACATGATACTTGTAGATCACCAGTTGTTTCCAAACTGTATACTTTGAGAAAATACCTGCCCTTTGGTAGCCTCAATATACTGGGGAGGATTTAAAAGATTTGCCCTAGTTTATTTTGATTTTTGTCGTCATCTCTTGATTTTCATTGATATACAATGGTACCTTGGTACTCAACTTCTTTGAAACTCATCAGATTTGTTATTCAACACAGTCTGACATGAAATTTTTATCCCAGTACTCATTGTTTATTTGGTACACAACGCACAAACTAGAACCTGTTGTCGGCTACATTGTGACTCACTATATTATTCCTTATGGGTTAGGGCTAAAAGTTTGTTTGGTATTCAACATTTTTGGTACTCATCGTATCTCTCAGAACCAATTTAACGACAAATGCCAAGGTAACATTGTACTACCAAAAATTATTGTTACTAAATCTGTTTTACCAAAAATTAGTGACTATATTAGAATAACTCTGTACATTATAGGAAAAGTTGTATTGATGGGCAAAGAATCCTGGTTTGTTTGTTTTTTTAGTATTCTTCCTTTCACTGGAGAATGCATCACAAGATTTTGAAGCAGAATTTGAAAAAAACAGTCACTCTAAACAATCTTTCCAAGAGCTGAAATGCCTTTATGGTTTATTTTTTAAAAAAATGCTTAATGTGTTTTAAGCATTAAACCCATTAAGCATGGGTTAGTGTTTCTTTATTTTACAAATGTATATGCTGCTGCAGTCTTGGAGTCTGGACAACAGTTAAGAAAAAAAAGTTACAAAACCATGAAAACATAAAAATCATGAAAAATTGAAACTATGTACAGGTGGACTGTCACTGGTATGTTACTGCAGTGCCTTAAAGCCTGACAATAATTTAGATGTGCTTCACATGCCTAGAAGTTAAATAATGTATTTATTTATTTATTTTGCAAAACCGTAGAATTCCAACAACTAGAACAAAAGACTAAAATAAATCTAACATTTTCTAATCAATAGTATTCATTGGGTTCAAAACTTACCTTTTTTTTCCCAGGGTAACAATGCTGTTAATAAGCAAGACATTGCTGACGCCAAAAGTTACTTTGAAACTGCCAAAGTAGAATGTGTGATACAAGCATGCCCAGAATTGTTGCGCAAAGGTATGGGTTTCTTGCACACACACCCATCCCTCCACAATGTTAATTATTTTTTAAAAAGTGTGTAAATCGTAGCTTGAAGAAAAACATGCACACATTGACAGTTTAAGAAGTGTTTTGTATCTAGCATGGTAACCTGATTAATTTTCTTGGGGTTTTAGAACATTCGAATCAATTTTACTTTTTTATTAGCTTCCTTTTGCCTTCTTTTTAATCCTAGACCAGTTTTATATATGAGCAAAGTATTTAGTGCACCTGTTAAAGAATAGGCCTTTAGGAGCAAATGTCCCTTCTGCTTGGTTGCTAGAGGCTGACTACAGATAATCCTCAATGTACGATGGGTTGCTTAGCAACCAAAGTTACAACCGAACCTCTCCCCCACAAAAAAGCTAGCTAAGATGGTTACACACGCACGCACGCACACATACACTCCATGGTCACATAACCACATTTTGGGCACTTGGCAAATAGTGTAGAAATATGCTCATGGAAAAGTTATTTAAAATATTTATGTCTTATTTTTTTTATAGATTTTGAGTCAATGTTTCCAGATGTTGTTTCCAATAATATAACAGTACTAACGGTAACGCAGAAAACTGTAAATGATATGAGTGGGTGGAGTGAAGAGGTAGAAAATGAGCGAGAAGGCCTCATTGAAAATGTAAGTCACATTGGCTTAGGATGATCAGATGCAATTACTTTCCACTGTTTGTGTGTGTGTATGTGTGTGTGTGTGTTATATGTGAGTGCCCAAATATATGCATACATTCATATGTACTCTAAGAAAGTAAAGCATTATTTACAAATGTAAAGCATATTTAAAAGGACAGAGATTTTATTAAATTGTAGGAGTCAAAAAGAAGTACCTAGATATGTCCACAGTCATCAAAAATCAAATTAAGTTCTGAAGAGGCATTATATATTTTTTAAACTGTTAACCAATTTCCTTTATATACATACATACTGTGTTTCCCTGAAAATAAGATAGGGTCATATTTTCTTTTGACCCCCGAAATAAGCTTGGCCTTATTTTCGGGGAGGTCTTATTATTTTTGAGGTACAGGAGGCAGTGAGCGTGGTCACCTCATGGCTGCTGCTGTGTTGCAATATTTTCAGGGAGGGTTTATTTTTGGGAGAGGGCTTATTTTAGCGCATGCACTCAAAAGCCTAATTGGGCTTATTATCCAGGGAGGTCTTATTTTCAGGAAAACAGGATACACACACACACATCTCTGTACCCATATCCATCTACATATACTATTAACTTTACATGAATTATGTCACTGATTTTTCACAAGAAAGTATTAATCTTAAAAAAAAATATGCACACTCATTTTTAGCATGACATAATGACATTAATGATTTCATTCTGTATAGTAAGTTAAGGGTTTCATCTGAAAGCTTGTTGATACTTGCTTAAATAAAAATTACATTTAGCTCTGTCCATGTGCAAAATTGTCACTAGAGGTCATTCCTTTTCCAGGCTCCCTGTTAACCACTTTGGCTTTAAGCAGTCGGTAATTAAGTTCCAACAGATGTCAGTATTTACAGCTGGTATTCTCCATAAAATGTTATTTACTGAACATGTTTGGTTAAAAGAAAAGTTCACATTTTGAGGGTGTTGTTTTTCATTTCTGAATAATTGTAATGAAACAATAGCTTTTAGTTAACTGCTAGACATTTCATTTTAAAGCATTTTGAGCTGATTTCTGGCTTCTAGATAATGGATTCAGAAGAGTGATTCACTTAGGGGGAGAATTCCTGTCTGAATAAGTCGCATAGCTTTAATGATTCCACATGAGCAAAGCAAGAATTTTTTTATTGTATAACTTATAGTTTGAAAATTGATGGATTAAATATTATTAAAATGAACCAAGAGAGTTAAATTTAAAATACTGCATATATGTAGCTTGTGTATTTCTTTGTTGAAAACTACTGTTTTTAAACTTGTATAAGTGTTGAGTACAACTCTTTTTTTAATAGAAGAATAATGTAACTTTAGATGTAATATTCATAGGAATTATTATAAGAATAATAAAAGCAACTTGGCAGATTGCATTCCTAATTACTGCTTAAAACTATTCTTCAACTTCCTTTGAATATACATAGTTTGTACATTGGCTAAGTAACACACAGTCACAACAGAAGGAGGAATCTGGAGCTATTAGCTCCAAATTGCTCCTTCTATTGTTCTATGATAAATTTCTAGCCATCATCATGCTTGAAACAATTCAGAATTCTTGATAATTTTATGGATTGTAAGTAGTATGATAACGCCAGGAAGAATATTCCATCTTTAACATATAGCAGAAGATTCAAAGTAAGATCATTCAGGGTTTTTTTTTTAATCTTGCACTTTACTTGAGTGTCAGTTTAAATGTATTTTAACTTAATTTGAGATAATAAGGCAAAGATCAAATATTGATTCTTTGAAGATGTTGCAAAAAAAAAAAAGAGTGAAAAGCATTGAAAACAAGTTAAGCCTTAATTAGTATAATTTCCCATGCATTCCAACTGGGAAACAATGGTTTATTTCTGATCTTAAAATATTAGCTTGTTCTAAAACTGACAAGTTGTACCAAGGTGGCGCAGTGGTTAAATGCAGCACTGCAGGCTACTGCTAGATCAGCAGGTCAGCGGTTCAAATCTCACCGGCTCAGGGTTGACTCAGCCTTCCATCCTTCCGAGGTGGGTAAAATGAGGACCCAGATTGTTGGGGGCAATATGCTGACTCTCTGTAAACCGCTTAGAGAGGCCTGAAAGGCCTATGAAGCGGTATATAAGTCTACTGCTATTGCTAATTGCTAATGTACTTTACTGGGGTTAGACAAAACAACATTTTGTGTAGAGATTTGATTTTGAGTTTTTGCAATGCACATATATTTGGTTTAATAAACCATGTGTTTGAAAGCTATCTAGATCTAGTCAGCTTTTCCTGAAATATATGTTCCTATGTGTTCTTTTTATTAGGCTTAATTTCAATATATATAATGCACCATAGTGCAAAAATTAATTGTAAATGCCGTAATCATGTTCATTGCAAATGGCTCAAGCCACTGCTAAATTTTACCATAATATTTTACATTAGATATTCTTTGGGGTTAGGGAAAACATCCCTTTTTCTTACGTAGTTATAGGTCCCTTTGGTTTTGGCTTCTCTGAATTGATACAATATACTTTGGAGTAAGATATTACTTCTTCATATACTCAGAAATTTATTTATTTATTCATTCATTCAATTTAATTTAATTTACTTGATAAGAGTTTAAAAAGCTTCCTTACTAGCTTTTAAACCTTAATTGTACTAGCTTTTTTATTTTCTGATCAAGGCAAAATAATGGATTAACATGAGAAAAGTAGATAATGTGTGGTTATTTCATTTTAATTTTAGATGCTGTGCAATTAAGAGAACATTACAATTCAAGTGAGCAATGAAAGTAATCATATTACACAGACCCCATGAAGTATTAACTCTTTATTGACTAGCACCAAGATGTCCTTATAGACTTTACGTGATCCCAATATAGCTTAGTAGTGTTAATCCTGTTGGTAAAGTTATTCAAGTCGATCAGCTGAAGTTCTGAGCATTTGCTCTTTGATTTTGAAGTGAATTTGTGCTTGATGGAGAAAGTCTATTTTGCATTTTTCTATTTTCTCTCTTCTTAGTTTATCAATGGTGCTAAGGAAATTTGCTACGCTTTGTGTTCTGAAGGCTACTGGGCAGACTTTATTGATCCGACATCAGGATTAGCAGTAAGTATTTATGTTAAAATGTAGTAAGTAGAGGTGTATCTTGCTCAGACTTAGGCAAATTAGCAGTAGAGTATAAATCCTCCATCAGTTGTTTGTTCTTGCTGGTTGCCATTAAAGGACTAAGTTGTTTTTGTTTAATAAGTATTGGCATGGTATTTTCTATCTATCATTGTAGGAATTCAGGGTGTTGCACATAGTTCTTCCTGTTTCATACTTAGTGATACAAGAGGTACAGGCAGTTCTCGTTAATGACCATTCAAAGTTCTGGCGGTGCTGAATAAGTGGAACTCAACGACCAGCCTTTAGAGTTCTGGCTGTCCCAACACCTCCATGGTCACGCAGTTGTAATCCCGGCATTTAGTAATCTTCTCACAGTTAAAGCAACAGCACTTACACTCATTTACCACTTCACAATGCTTTATAGCCCGCACTAAGCAGTTTTCAGAGTCAGCATACTACCCCTAACAATCTGAGTCCTCATTTTACCAACCTCAGAAGGCTGAGTCAACCTTAAGCTAGTAGGAATCGAACTGCCTGGCAGTCAGCAGGAGTAGCCTGCAGTACTGCATTCTAACCATTGTGCCACCATGGTTTGGGTGTATTTTTGAGGTTTAATGACTAATAACACCACCTTTTTGGAGTAGTACCATAACATTATATATCAATGGAAAGATAATTTAATCAAGAATGTAATGCAATGAAGTTTGTTCAATTATCTGTATTCTATGAAAAGTTATAGCCAAATAACCAGAAAAAGGAAGCACAACTTGCTTAGGTTGATATCAGGTAGCTTTCCTTCATCTGATTGTAGCCAATGAGCATGAGTATTCAGAGAACCAGTCAGGTGTCATCTTGTTTTGGCAATGAGCCAATCAGATCACAGTAGGATTCAATTATTGATGTCATGTATTAAAGTTGAGAGGAGGACATTTGCCAATGTGTTATACGATCGCTATCAATTTGGTTGGATTTTTTTTTTGTTCTTTCATTTAGTGAGCTTGTAAAACATAATAAAATTAAAGTAATGGTGCAAAGAGTTGACTGGTCGCCCAGAAAGCAGTGTAAAATAGTATTATTAAGTGAACAAGGCTACAGTTATAAAGAAATTAGAAGAAAAAATGGTGGAAACTTAACCAAAGGTGGCATTTCTAAGTTTTTGAAGTGGTATAAGGAGACTCAGCTACTACAGAACTACTACAAGGCAGAAAAAGGTGCACGACAGCAAGTGATGATAGAAGAATTAAGAGACTGTGCCTATGACAGAAGAAAATCAACTGGGTGTATACAAGATGAAATGGCACTGTCAGCATCACTCCATTACATAATTAGGAAAGAAAGACTAAGAGACCCCATGGGATGGAAATCAAAAGTACTTTTACTAATTATAAATGGTAAGCGAGCAGTTGCGAAGCAAAGTCTACTTAATTAGGCGCGAAAGCGATGGATATATAGAATAGTCCATTCCCCACCCCTTAGGATCATAGCTTCAGGCCAATCATAAGTCCTTCAAATGTCAGGTGTGAGATAACTTCAAAAAGACATCACGAAGATGGAATGTTGAGGCCGTTGGTCTAGGCGGGAAGCACTCACGCATGCGCTATCCAAGCATCTTGTACATCCTAGAACATTCCTCCAGCACATCAATTAACCCCTCCCAAATACCAGCCCTCCCTCCCCGTTTCATGGCAGCTGAAGCAACAGCAAGGCAGAAGCTGACAGGCACAATGCAATGTGAAGTTGAGTGCAAGGACTGTTCGGCACAGACTATGGAAATTTGGCCTAAAAATCTAAAATTCCATGAAAAAAGCCACCTTTATCTCTCAAATCCTTCATAAAAGTTATTGCATTACATTCTTGATTAAAGTATCTTTCCATTGATATATAATTTTATGGTAGTACTCCAAAAAAACTGGTGTTATTTGCCATCAATCCTCAAAAATACTGTACACTTTTCCCAAAACATTTCCACAAATTTGGCTACCACTGTTAATGTGGAAATTAACAGCATAATATTGCTGATAATAATTGCACATCAATTCATTCAGATAATGCCTCATAGAAATAAAAAGTACTACATGCATTTACTTAAGCAGGAATTTAATCAAATCAACTGTTATAATACTCAATGTTTCATTCTTTTTCTCTCCTTTCAGTTCTTTGGCCCTTACACAAACAACACTCTTTTTGAAACTGATGAACGCTATCACCAGTTAGGATTTCTTGTGGAAGACCTAGGCTGCTGTAAAGTTATTCGGCATAGTCTATGGGGAACTCACGTTCTAGTTGGAAGCATATTTACCAATGCTACCCCGGACAGCCCTATCATGAAGAAACTGCGTGGGAATTAACAGCACCTTTTCACTTAGAAGTTGGCTAATAAACATTGTCAGCGGTAGATAGATTAAGTAATGCTGATTTATAGATAGGAAAAGTTCTATTTATTCTAGGTTTTGTAGTATATGATTTATATACCAATGCAACATTTTATTTTTGAGATCATGTGTGTGCATGCATGTGTATACACAAACACACACACACACATACATATGTCTCTAAAATCCTGAATTCATTCTTGGAAATGAAATGAAATCCCTTTTATTTTATTCGAGAGTACAAATCCTCAACACTCTCACCTTACTTTGGTTACACATCTTTGGATATAATGTTGAAGAAGGAAAATGTGGCTACACAATTATCTCAGTAAAAGAAAATAACAAACTCGACTATCTTAATTTTTACCAGAATCAGTATTATATGTTGTTTGAATATTACCAAAATAACTCAACTTGATTATTGAGAAATTGTGATTTACTTAGATTCTCTTGCAACTGACGATAAAACACAAAGCAACACAACACTATTGGGTGTTAACATGCAAAGTTGGAGGTGCAGTTCAACCTCTTGAATCTAGCTTGTCACCTTGTGGTTCACTCCTTCAATACAAGTATACCTTGAATTATTTTAGCAAATAATTATCATCTTTTGAGGTGTTACAGGAGCTCACAGACGGCTGTTTTGTGTCTCTTAAGTACATGGCACATTGAAATTACTTGACACATCAGTTTATATTGAATATCTCTAGTAGTAGGGTGTCTCAGGTTAACCTTCCTTAGCTGGATTTGGATTGTTGTATCAGTTGAATGCAACAGCTGTCAATGAGCTTCTACAATAATTCATGGTTACATTGATGATTTGAGATTCAGGTCAGTGTGCAACCTGGCTGGAGAGTGATGTATAATCTTTGTATATGTGTAAATGTATCGTTTGAATTTTTTTCTCTGTGATTTTGTTTACAATAGTTGAAGATGTTACATATGAACAAATACTTCTATAGGCCTGTGATGGCAAACTTATGGCACGTGCGCCAGATGTGGCACACAGAGCTCTCTCTGTTGGCAGGCACGCCATCCCCTACTGCTCTTCTGGTTTTCAGAGCGCTTCTGGTCTTCGTGGGTGCCGGAGTACTGAAAAACAACCTGAAAATGGCCCAAGAAATGACCAAAAAATAGGTGTTCTTTGGGCCATTTTCGGGCTGTTTTTAGGTCATTTTATGCCCGAAAAACAGGCTATTTTCAGGCCATTTGGGGGGCCAAAAACGACCTGAAAAATGGCCAAAAAACAGGCATGCTCACGCCAGCTAGCTGATCTTCAGGTTGCCAGCTCTCTGCCAGATGCATGCATGTTCCAGTTTGGGCACTCGGTGCTGAAAAGGTTCATCACTGCAATAGGCTAAAGGTTGGTTTAAGGATGCTGTAAAATAAGGAAACAGTAAATGATCTGATTGGGCTGTACATTTTATATTGAAAATGAGGATTAAAATATTTTAAATGCATCTACAAACTACGGAAGAACAAGCAACATGTTACAAATAGTTTAAATTAGTTTGGCATCTTTTAAACCACATTCGAGGGCAGATGTGTATTGTTCCTGATTGTAGCATTGTGGGAAGCTGACCTTGGGAGCAGTGGTACTTGCAATTCTGCTCATTTGCCTTCAAGGGTGTAAAGGCTCTGCAGGAAGGAAAGATCTGGAGTTTTTTCTTCTTTTTCTTTTATATTTATGTGGATAAGATAGACAAGAAAGGAAAAGATATCACACATCAAATCAGTTGCTAGAAGATGATCAGGAAAAAGCAGAACTTTGCCAAAATCAAATTTTTGAAGCTACTTGTTTCTTGAGATAGACTTTTATTTATTTTTATTTTATTTTAGAACTATTGGCAGGCTGCTATTGAGACAGCTTCATGAACTGTAAATTTAGGTATAATTTGAAATCTATATGTGCACCTATTTTTATACTGAATAAATGTTGGAACAAAAAACATGTAAATATTCATTAGTCCTGACATAATTTCTAAGTTGTATATTGGAACTAATTTAAGAAATAAAGTGGGAATTCAATATTGTGGGCATAATGTTGTTATTTTAATTCTCATGTTAACAATTAATTTTTAATGCTGTCAGTATGATTGTGATATTATAGGAAAGAGAAGTAACTGGAATATAAATTAATTGTCGCTTTTTTTTTCCAAAAACAATTCTTCCTGTAACAATTTATCACCAAAACTGTTTTAAAGTATTGTCTTATCTTTCACATCTATGTTAGAGGGGCTGTTTTATGAATGATTGAATGAAAGTGTGTTGTATCCTCGACTTACAACAGTTCATTTAGTGACAGTCCAAAGTTACAACGGCACTGATAAAAGTGACATGACCAGTTTTCACACTTACAACCATTGTAGCATCCCCACGGTCACGTGATTTACATTTGGATGCTTGACAACTGACTCACATTTATGATGGTTGCAGTGTCCTGGAGTCACATGATTCCTTTTGTGACTTTCTGACAAGCAAAATCAACAGGAAAGCGAGATTCACTTAACAACAGTTTGTCTAATTTAACAACTGTCGGGATGAACTTAACAATTGTGGCAAGAAAGATCACAAAATGGAGCAAACTCACTTAACAAATATTTCACTTGGCAACAGAAATGGGCTCAATTGTGGTGGT